ACAGTGGACCACAAGATGAGAAGACAAAGGTCAGAGCCCAGTAAAACTGAAAGACAAACACTCAGAGAAAGAGCAATAAAAGAATTTAAAAATTAAGGAAAAAAACATCTACGGTACATACCCCAGAGACCAAAGCAAAAGAGATTCAAAAAAGAGGAACAGTGCACATGAGTTCTTCCTTTGCAGTGGAAAACAATAATTATTGCATCATTATATAGGGGAGTTTGGGTAAAAATCTCAAAAAGTTATGCAACTAGAAGCTACACAATACAGATACGCAGTTTTGTTTTCATCAGTATGAATCTTAATCAAGTCGTACTGTTCTTTCCAGTATCACATTTTGCCAACCTAGGGCTTTCTTGCTGTCTGAAAAATTCATTTCTCTCTTTCACACTTTTTCTAACATACAGTTCAGTTTCAATTCAGAGCTTCTCCTGTAACACTAAGACGATTTCTTCAGCTTAGGGTTTCCAGACACAGAGATGTCAATTCGACGGGGCTATAAGTTTTTAGGGGACAGATATCAAGCCCTCAAACATAAAAGAGAGTGAATAAAATATGTTTGAAAGAATGCCTAAATTCCACATACTTAATGCAGAAGTTAGGTCAACTTCTGCATTGTGACATCTAGTGTTACAGCTGCCACCCATCCCCCAGCAAACATGGAGTCCATGGCAAACGTTGCTAATTGATCCCGGCAGTTGCTCAGCTGAGCCTGTAGAAGCCCAAAGCACTGCAAGCAGCTTCCACCAACCGGTCAGCATCGGTCCGGATGACATAACAACATGCTCAAGTTAAATGTGTTACATTTGAGCTTTTGCAGCTCTTGGCTCATGACCGCATGGTGTGCAGCCACAGAGCAGCTGTGTGCTAAGAGGACAATGGGCAGAAACAAAGCAGTCAAATTCAGCTTGGCCTTTCTGCTTTACTTTCTATGTTGCTTTTCTATTAGGAATTGTGCATAAAAGTTTTCTTAAGCTATTAATTTCACACATGCCTACAAATGTCATTTCGGAGCATTTCAGAAAACCAAATCACATAACATGCTGGTTCCAGATCTCTCTCCATCACTGACCACCTCTGGTTAGATACTCTTTGTCAAAATGCCCTGTGAAACTTGAGATTTAACTATGCATTGCTTTTTTGGGAAGATGGAACTGGCTGCAGACTGGTCATTGCACCTTCCTTTTTAAAAATCCTTTGCTGGTTTCCCGTTGTTCTCCTGTAATGGGATAAAATCCAAACTCCTTTACATGACCTGAGTTTCTCACAATGAAAGGACCACTTCATTGCCCTTCTCCTGCCCCTGCCCATTATTCCACCACACCAAACCCTTCTTTGTATATGGTTGTGTTAGCTGTCTATGGCATGTAAGTCACAACCTTAGTGACTTAACACACATTTATTTCTTTCATTTCTGTGGGTTAGAGGTTCAACATGGGTCACAATGAGTTCATCAAGGAGGTGGCAGGGCCGTGGTCCTTTCGGAAGCTCTAGGGGACCATCCATTTCCTTGCCTGTGTGAGCTTCTAAAAGCTGCCCTCATTCCTCGGCTGGTGGACCCCTCCCACCTTCAAAGCCAGTAATGGCTGGTCAAGTCTTTCTCACACAGCATCACTCTGATGCTGACTTCTGCCTCCGTCTTTCGCTTACAAGAACTCTTGTGATTATACTGGGCCCACTAGAAAATCCTGAAAAATCTCTCCATCTCAAGATCCTCCACTGAATCACAACTGCAAAGTCCCAAAGTGAGTATCTTTTTTTTTGGGGGGGGGGGCTGTCATTCTGCTACGATAATGATGTTCCTTCTGCCTGGAAAGTCCACTTCTCTGCTTAGAAATCTACTTCTTCTACCTAATTCCTGAGGCATTCCTTAAAGTCCTGTAGCGATGTCACCATTTTCATGAGGCCCCGCCTCCTCTAACCCAAGGAGCTCATTCCTGACCTTCCCGGGTTCCACGCACAACCACCTCCCTGCAGCTCTCATTCTGCACTATAGTCTGTCTTTCTTCAAGCCTGTGTCTCTGACTGGACTGTGAGTCACTGTGTCTTATTCATTTCTGTAGCCTCAAGGGCCTAACTATAAAAGATTGTGGGGAAGGAACATGCAGGTGCTATTTTAATGAGGAAAGACCTCAGGTGGAGGCAGAGGCAAGATTAGTAAATTCACAGGACTTCTGTTTTGAGTACAATTTAGAAGCTAGATCTGACAGCTCTTGCTTTGTTATTATTACCAGATAATCAACCAAACCCCTTAATCCTTTAACCATTCCAGGGAGATATCAGAGCATACTTAAAACCAACCATTTGCATCTACAGCCATTTTTAACTTCGACGTAATTTGCCTTGGGTAACAACATGTTGTCAAAGTTTTAAGTGTTCTCCTGGGTTTGGCTAGAAAAGGGCAGGCCCCACCCCCAAGGACTTGGTTAAATGCTGAGTTAGCGCAGATACTACCTACACGCTTTATGAATTCTAAAAAAAAATGATACTCATCTAACAAGTCTGACTGTACTGTGCTGGAGATTAAAAACAACCTTGCCACAATATTTAATCCAATATCTAGAAGTTCCTGCATTATAAAAATAGAACAGAAAGCCCAATGAAGCAAAGTTTACATATCCTCGAATATTTAAATTGCAAGCCAAACAGGAGTTACATAGATTCAGGTCACGTGAATGGGGAAAGATCTGTTTTTAAAGGCAATAGTGTTGCTATGAATATCTAATGTCACTTATAACACTACATGGTATAGAAACCTAAACACATTGGAAGAAAACAAAAAACATGTGCCTGGCAGTTGAGCTGCGAAAACCCGACAGGTACAAAACAGAAGAAATAACCCGTTTCCTAGTTTGAATACAAAGTCTACTTTGCTATTTTTTCTTCATTAGCAATAATAAAACCCCACTTCAATCTAAACCCTATTGGTTTTGTTAGTTTTAGGTGAGGAAAATGTAGAATTCTTGAAGCCGACAGTGGTGTTTAAACACATCTTTTGCTAAAATGTCATTGTTTCATTGTGTTTCCTAACATATATATATATATATATATATATATATATATATATATATATATATGATTTTCAGACCCAAAAGGGGCCTATTGGTCTGTATTAAACCTCACATTCACAAAGGGAAAATGAAGGTTGAGCTGCTTCCTCTAAGTCAGGAACAACCCAAGGGCGAGGGAGACTAACTTCCACGTGGGAACGCGGCCTGAGACTAGTGGGCGGGGCACACACACTGCTTCATGGTAGATTTTAACCCGATGCATTTTTATAGAAAAGGGAAGCAAAATTTCTGCATATTTGTACTGGGTTTTTTAAATGCCCAAATTATTCCATAAATGTATTCAGAAATGTGTTTAGGAACAATGAACATCAAATTATTTGGCTAAAATGGAACATTACAGGCCTAACTTGTAAAAATAGAAATCATTTGTTCTATTGTCTGGACATTTCAAGCCTTGTCTTTGATAAGATCTTGGTTCTGTAGGGGCACAGCATAGAGTCCACCTGGGGAAACCATCCAGGGCAGCTGGAATTACAACCGCAGCCATAGCAGCCAAGAACAAGCATTAAAACGTAGTCACAACCCAATGAAAAGTCAATGCACCTCGGAAGTCTATTAAGGTCTATCAAGAATGCAAACAAAAGTTTTGTAATAAGCTTAATAAACAAAACAACTGAACCCATTAAGTGATACTTAGGGAAATAAGGTTGAGAATATGGCTTTAGTTAGAGGCAGAACTAGTTCCTACTAAAACAAGGATTGTTAACCTTATTAGGTCCAATAATCCTAAGAATGGTAATGGTACTAAATGTTTTAGGAGAAATCAAGAGTAGAAATCGCAGTGGAATCTACAAGTTACTTTTGTAAAAGTAAAATGCCAGTAGAACTACATTGTTCTAACTTACTCTTCTGAAAATAAATCTCCTTTCATCTTGCATTTCATCTTGAATAATTTCACTATGTTCAGCATAGTAGCAACTGAAAAAAATGTGTTTCATCTTGAAACAAAAGTGAGAAAACTTTACAAAAAACATTGAGCTTCTGTAATGGTAGGCTTTCCAACTTCTTAATATAAAGCCAAGATAACACAAAATAAATATTGCTACAGTAACCAAACTTTTCTTCAAGAAGTATCTTTAAAAACAATGGCAGTACAACCATAGTATATTATTTTCTACAGTGTGAGCGGATAATAGACCTGCAAACCTTTTTTTGCTAGCTTGCTTCATAAATCTTGCAACTTGCATGCTCCAGTTTTTTTGGAGGGGAAGGCAGGTTAATGGTCGAGCGTAAAATAAATCAGCTCTGCACCTCGGAAACAAAACAATTACTTTGTTTTTCAAGCCAGGGATGCACGATTCCCTTTCCAAGCCATGAAGCAATTCGATGAGAACTTGCTATCGAGTCAAATGCGACAAACTCTTGAGTGCTCCAGTCGCGAGGCGGCGGCTCGAGGCATTCAGAGCTTCCCGCACTCCTACAGCATCAAGACGACGCGCTCTCTCGGGTACGGACCCGGAACCCGAACTCAAGGCCTTCCGGGACCGGACAGTAAACTCTACCTTCTGTTTCGGGGAAACTGAGGCACGGTGACCCGAGCAACCTGGAGTCAGGCGAAAACCCCCGTCGCGCCTTTGCGCCCCTTCCCCCGGTAGACCGGCGAGGCTCCTCGACTGCGCGGTGGACACCACGTTCCAGGACGCAGGAGGCTTGCGGTCAGCCCCTGAGTGGCTGCTGTCCCCCAGTCCATCCTCCCCCACCGGGTCCCGCCCCGCACTGATCTTGAAACATCCTTCGACCCCAGGAGCCTGCTGCCGAGATCTCGCCTCCTCCCAAGGCACAAGCCGCATCGTGGGCTCCGCCAGCCTAAGCGGCGGATAAAGTTCCGCGGAGATAAGCCGCAGCCACGACTCGACCGCCCACCCGCTGCGGTGCCCTCAGCTACCCGCACCCCGCGGCCCCGGCTCGCCGGGTGCCCCAGCTAACCTGACGCCGCCGCGCCACTCAGGTGGCCGCCGTGCGCTCCTCGCCATGGCCAGCCTCGGTGCTGCCGCTGCGCCGCGCTCTGCCTCTGACGGCTGGCAGCACCCACTGCGGACGGGCCGCCTCCGCCGGCCGCTGCAGCGTAGCCGGCTGCGCCGCGGGCAGGCGGCCGGGAGTGCGGCGCTTCCCACCCACCGGAGCCGGAGCCGCTGGCGCTGAGCATGCCCAGTGCGGCGCGCCCGGCGGTGCGGGGGCGCGGAACCGGGCGGGGTGTCTCCGCCGGGTTTTCGCAGCAGCCACCGGGGAAAGGCGGTGTTGCAGGAACCTGTGGGAGCCTCGGACCCACCCGCAAAGGAGGAGGCGGGTTGAATGTGCCTTGGAGTCTTTCATTCAGTCCGCGTAGCCTCTGGGGCGGAACTTGGTGGCCCCCAGGCTCCGCTGCAGGGCTCCGAAGTTAGTACGGGAGCAGAGGACACTGATTTCTGATGCTGTTGCGCGTAGGCAGCGTGACTGATAATTGAGAGGCGTTCGCCACCAAGGCTTCCACAGCAACTTTCCTGAGTGTCGTATTGCATAGTTGTTCAGGGACACCCGGGAACAGGTTTCTTAGAATCCCATCGTGGGACAGAAGAGAACCAGCAACAGCCCTGAACCTACCCTGTTCCCGGGGCCACCTGTCAAGCCACCTTATGATCAAAAGTTTAACAGGCCTTCCCGGGTTACTCCGCAGTCAGTTTAAATCTCACACATAAGAGGCTGGACAGAAATACGCAGGACGTTCACTGGTGGCTTCTGAGTGGTGTGGTTCCGGGGATTCTAATTTTTTTCTTTTTTTAATAATTTGTAGTTCCTAAGTTTTGTTCTAATTACAAAATGGAGGTTTTTAAGTAAAAAAGATGGTTAGTCTAAACGCTCGCATATGTCTGGCAGCAAGATCTTGCACTGTTAGCGTCCCCCCACCCCTCCTTTTATTTTATTTTATTTTATTTTATTTTATTTTTTAGGATTTGCCAAGGGCTGTCAATTTCAGGGGCCTAGGCAAGGCCAGACGTCCCAGGCTCTTCTAGGCCCGCCCCTTGGCCACGCCCCCAGAGGTTCTTTTAGTCCAGTACCTCCCTCTTCTACGGTTGCTGCCAAAACCCGGGAAGGTAGATTCCACCCACTGACGGTTGTGGCTCCTGCAACCACACTGGACCTGTTCTGCCGCCGGTTAGGGACTGCTGTTACCTAGAGTGGAGGCTTTTGGCAGCTCCCAGTTCCTCTCTTGCTTCTCTCGATCTTTGACAAAGGAGACAAAATAGCACCGCAGACCCCCTGCCCCAAGTTCAGACCCGAAGAAGTGGGTCAAGACCCGACTGAGCATGCTCTGAGCAGTGCCTGGCTGCCGCTCGTGGCTGCTTCGGGTCGCCCAAGGTTGCTGCAGCTGCCCTCACTCATCACCATATGGAAGGTCAGGAGGCCGGTGGAAGCAGGACCCTAGAGGGGCCTGATAGCCTGGACCCGTGGCCCGACAGGTTCCCCTGCCAAGACCTGTAGTGGGTGCGGGGGTAGTGGGTGCATGGGATTTGGTTTACAAGTGAATCAAAGCATGATTTTTCCCTAAAAGATTGAAATTAAAAATAATGTTTTAACCTCACCTTTTTGTGGCATCTCAAATAACAACACATTTTAGCTCTAAGAACTTTCCAGTCTGGCTGTCTTTTAGGAAACCCAAGCCTTCTTTCATTTGTTTTTCAAGTATTTAATAAGCATTCTTTACAGTTGCACTGGAACACTAAAATTTCACTTGTTTTATCAAAGATTTGCTCTTGTCCTCTCTCAGATAATTCTGCAAATATTACATTCCTTTTATTTTATTCAGGCTATTCTGCATTCACCCTCAGACTCTCCTTTTGCTTCCTTTTCAAAATCTGAGAGAACCTTCAGAATGTTCTCATATTGTCTTTAATACACTTGAGGCAGGTGTGGAAAACTTGCTTTTAATCCTCAGTTACTGAAGAGAAGTCTGAAATGGAGAACGTTTGCAGGGAAGAGATTTTATAGGCTTGAAGTAAACTCGAGAACGCAGAGAGCCTTGCATTGAGCCCAGGCAGGCGAGTGGGATAGCTGTCTGTTTTATCTGGGGAGGAGGAAGATGGGCAGGTGGGGCAGCTGCCCAGTGAGCTTTGGTATGACAGACAGTGGGAAATGCCCTCAGTGAGGGTTGGTTCCATTTCAGTGTCTCCCACTCAGGCATCGCTGTCCAGCTTAAGCATGGCTGGAGACACCATCGCTGGCGGAAGGCCACTTCTGGGAAGAGGATTCCCCTAGGCTCCTAACTTGTGCTGGAGTCATCCTTCTCCCCCAGATTTCCAACTGCATTCTTGCTGGTACACCCGAGTACTGCTCGTCAACCTGCTCAGGTCCCGGTAGACACCTCCAGCACAGTCTGGCCTGGGAACAGGTATTGACAACTCTTCAATAGGCCGTTCTACCACTCCTCCCCATCTGAAGCCGTCTGGTCCTCTGTGTTCCAGCAGGATTAAAATGTACAGAAATATGCAATTAGAAACCCAAACCTCTTGTGCAGTTCCTTCTCATCTTCCTTCTGCAGGTTCTTTTCCTTTGCACCAACCCCCACTGTAGGTGCTCTGTCCGTGGCTTGCTCTTGTCTCTCTGAGGGCCCTCACCCACTCTGGTGACTGTCAGTACCAAGCTCGTGTTGGCCTGTGCACATATGGTCATGCCAGTTGTTTATTGCTGGGGTCCTTCCTGGTCCATCAGGCCTCCGTTCTGATTAGTCGCTGTCTATGCCCGACTGTCCATGACAATTGTTAATATTTTAAATCTTGTCTTTGCCCAAACCATTACTTCTTTCACATGTCTACCTGAGTTCAGACCCTTATATGTAATCTACCAAATATCCTAGTTGCTGTGACTCAGGAAACTTGAACCCAGTGTGTCCCAGAGAGAACTCAGGAGCTGTACTTGCTCTTCCGCCTATGCGTCCCAGCTTGTTCAGTGGTTCCCACACCGTCTCAGCTATGCACATCACAACTGTGGGCCTTATTTCAGATTCATCCGCCTGCTTTCCCCTGTCATCTAGCTGGTCACTGGCACTGTCCACCCTTCCCTTAGACATCTCTGAATGCAGACCTTCCACTTCCATCTTCCCTTCCAGAAGGACTTTCTCTCTGGGTTCCTGCCAATCCATGCTTCAAACCTCAGATTTTCTTTTTAAACAATTTATATTTCAACATGTCTGCTAAAAATCCTCAGATGGATTCATAGTACCTTCAGGATAAAATCTAAATTTCGAACATGAACTGGCCCCATCTCTGCCTCCAGGTTAGCCTCCAGCCAGTGTCCCTTTATGTCCCATGTCCTAGCAGCTGAATTTCTTGACATGAGAATTCACACCTCTGTGTTCCTTTAGTTCTTCTCTCTGTCCTTTCCCCTTGCTCACTCCTTGGCAAATATTGTCCTCAAGACTCAGTTTAGGCTGAGTCTCCTCTGGCCTCCCTAATGTGACTCTCTTGAATACTTCACCTGAACCATACACCTATTCTCTAGGTAGGTATATTCTCTTCCCGTAGACACCTAACCTTGATTTATTTCCCTTTGTCTCCTCCATTACATTGTAGGCAGCATGACCACATGACCTCCTTTCAACAATCTTTGTATCTTTGTCCTCAAGAAAATTTTACTTGATAAATGAATAATAGACATATATACCCATGTAATATTTATAGTTTATTAATTTTTAAAGTTCTTCCTGAGAGTTGTAAATAGAGTGAAAAGAAAAAAATATCAGAACAGTCACATCATACACAGCCTGCTGAATGGTTATGCTCCTTTGAGTAGTATAAGCAAGATCTCAGATCTGATTTGAAACCCAGTGATTTTCTTCAGCTGCGGAAATCAGGATTTTTTTTTTGAGCTAGTCTGATGTACTTGTGTTATCAGTCTGTAACTGCACAAAGCTTAGCATTGTATTGCTTATTAATACACAAAGTCCATTGTTCTCTTGCATTGTGTTTCTTTCCACTGTGTAGTTATAACCTCCTAATTATATGGTTACTTCTTAGAATAACTCTTGTTTATTTTTTCTGTTGAATGTATGGCACTCGTAGGGCAGATGAACCAACCATTTAGGAATGAACATAATGTTTATAGTTCTACCAGCTCCCCTTGTCTGCTGAGAGCACCTGCAGTTTCCTGTGACTGGACAAACTGCCTCCTTTGGCTTAACCAGGGAAGATGAACTCATCCCAGATCTCCTGAGTACAGTGGTCCAGTGGCAGCAATTTTTATAGCCTCTCCAGTTGATCGCACATGATATTCATGAGAAATACAGTTTTAAATCATATGGATAAAAGGAAAAAAATCTATTCGTCTAGAACTTCAAGTAGCCCCTAAATTGGTTTTCATTGGCAAAAAGATATATGTAGGTGGGAAGAATTTCTCCATTTATTAAAAGTGTTATTCATGTTCGTGCTCATTAAATAGCCTTGGCTTATATTGGAGGGTCTGGAGAATACAGATGGATACGTACATGGTAAGGTAGCTGCTTGTTTTTCTACATGTTGGACTACAGCAGGTTTTACTTGATGACTCATATAGGCCAGGTGTTATTCTCCAGCATTTCTTTCCTAAATTCAGCCTCTTTTGACAGAGGGTGAGTGGGACAGTGGAGGTTCTGACCTTACGTCCTTCCAGGAGGTTCTGACCCTCCTAGAAGAGGACAATCACAGACACATGACCCTACATTTGGCTTTTTCCTTGTTCCCGGGAGTCTAAAAGGGTATAATTAGGAAGGAGGCTGGAGGAAGAATGAAAGGAAGCAAACACTTCTCTATAATCTTGTGACTTGCTGAGGAGAACAAAGCTAGTTAAAAAGTCTGAGTCAGTATCAGGAAAATATTCCCTTCCTCATTATGGTTTAGACTGAGCATTGATGTTGGTTGTGCGGAGGTGTAGCCAGTTAGCCAGCTGCCGAAGATGAGGAGAGCAAATGGTGTGCCTGCAAGTCGTGTAGGGCAGAGGACCCAGCTTGAAGGAGCACGCCCTTCCTGGGCCTCCGTTTGAGACCACACCAAAGCTCCACTCTGCTGGACAGGTTCCCACCCTGGGACGTTAATGGGCTTTGCAGCCAAGTCTCCCTCTGCTCAGGGCTTCACTGCAGACAGTGACACCGATTTCAGGACATGGATACTAGTAGGAGAAGGGATGAATCTTCACGTCACCT